TGAGTCGGGAGAGGAGTGGGTGGGAGGGGAGCGGGTAGGCGAGGAAAGGGAGACGCAGGGCGATCCCGCGACGACGATCGGAGGTCCGATGCGATCGATCAGATCGACCAGGGAGCCTGTCACGCCTGCTGGGTCTGCGGAGACCCTGCTGGCATCGGGCGTGCGGAGTCGGCCCGCGGACACCGCCGTCGTCGTTCCCAGGGAAGGTCGGCCGCGGTCGGTCGTTTCAACATTATCAGCAGCGGGGCGTGCCGCGCTGTAACCACTGTCGCCCAACCCGACTGTCTCCTGCTCGCTTCTTCCTGGCTGAAGGCCAGCCCCGTCGGTGAGGTTAGCGGCGTGGGAGCTAGGCGCTGCTGCTCAAGCGGTGCCCATGCCCCCAGGGAGGGGAGCGGCGGTGTCATGGCGGTAGCCAAAGGATCCGCTTGCACCGCTGGCTGCGCCAGCCGCGCGGCCCTCGATGCGTCTCCTCTGGGACGGCCCCGCTGCGGAGCCAGTCTCCTCCATGACTACGTCGGCGGGGTCGGCCGGTCGTCCGCAGCTGGCTTGGGGATCCACCTGCTGGGGGAGGCCGTGAGTGGATTCACCGGGGATGGCAGGAGGGTCGGTGTCGTCGCCACTCGTGGTCACAGCTTCTGCGGCGCTCTCGGCGTCGACTGGCGCTGTCTCTGGTCCTCGAGCTGAAGGCTCGCCACTTCTGAGATTGCCCGATACGCCTTGGAGCCTCGAGCTGAAGGCTCGTCCCGCATGAGAGTCCCGAGCTGAAGGCTCGCCCCGTCTGCGACTGTCCGACTGGGGGGCGGGTGGCTGACGGGAGTCCTCGGGATTACGGGAGCGACCAGGCAGTTGACTGGTCGCCGCGTCGCCGTCGGCGCCCACCAGTCTGTTTGAAGCGCCCCGAGCTGCAGACCCCCTCAAACCTGCTGTCTCGCACGGCGCTCCAAGGGCTGAAGGCCCATCCCCTGTGTGCACCACACTGCTGCATCCAGGGAGTGCGGCGGGCGCGCGGCGGCCGCCGTCTAGACGTCGGCTCACGTCCGCGGGGGGGGGGGGGGGGTCGGCTGCACGACTGGGACGGCCGCCTCCACGGTTAGAAGATTGCCCCCTTCGCAGCCGAAGGCTGCTTCTCTCGGCATTGAAGCGCCCAAGGGGGGGCGCTCGGCGGAATGGAGGCGCACGCCCATAGGATGCGGATCGGGGACATGGGTAGGCGTCTGTCCGCCTCCCCTCCTGTCGCAACCGCGGTCACCCTCCTGGGTGGCCTCAACTCTAGGCAGCCCGCCCTCGTCGGTGAGGCCCCTGGGCCGATCGTCGAGAGCGCCTCTCTGGCGGTCGCTCCTGCGCGGCCAGAATGGGCCTGTGTCTGTCGGGGGATGCACTTGATCTGGCGCTGCCTCTGGTCCTTGAGCTGAAGGCTCGTCACTTCTGAGATTGCCCGATACGCCTTGGAGCCTCGAGCTGAAGGCTCGTCCCGCATGAGAATCCCGAGCTGAAGGCTCGCCCCGTCTGCGGCTGCCCGACTGGGGGGCGGGTGGCTGACGGGAGTCCTCGGGATTACGGGAGCGACCAGGCAGTTGACTGGTCGCCGCGCCGCCGTCGGCGCCAACCAGTCCGCTTGAAGCGCCCCGAGCTGCAGACTCCCCCAAACCTGCTGTCTCACACGGCGCTCCAAGGGCTGAAGGCCCATCTTCTGTGCGCACCATACTGCTGCATCCAGGGAGGGCGGCGGGCGTGCGGCGATGGCCGTCTAGACGTCGGCTCACGTCCAAGGGGGGGGTCGGCTGCACGACTGGGACGGCCGCCTCCACGGTTAGAAGATTGGCCCCTTCGCAGCTGAAGGCTGCTTCTCTCGGCATTGAAGCGCCCAAGGGGGGGGCGCTCGGCGGAATGGAGGCGCAAGCCCATAGGATGCGGATCGGGGACATGGGTAGGCGTCTGTCCGCCTCCCCTCCTGTCGTAACCGTGTTCACCCTCTCGGGTGGCCTCAACCCTGGGCCACCCGCCCTCGTCGGTGAGGCCCCTGGGCCGATCGTCGAGAGCGCCTCTCTGGCGGTCGCTCCTGCGCGGCCAGAATGGGCCTGAGTCCGTCGGGGGATGCACTTGATCAGGGGTGGGGCCAGCGCCCCCCGTGGTCCTGGCATCGCCGTGGGCGATCCAGTTCTGCCCTTCACCGCCAGGAGACAAGGAAATTGGACGCCCAGCCAGAGGCAGAGGAAGTGTCGTGGTAAGAGAGGGAAACAGGTCCGGCGGGAAGGAGTCGACCTGAAGGTCGCAATACCAGTGTGTCTCGCGGCGCTAACCGTGGCGCCCCCTCCTCCCATCCGGCTGAAGGCCGATGGTTCTCGTGTGTATGCAAACTCGACGGGAGCGATCAAGGGGTCCGCGGACGCGTTCGGACCGCCCGTGCTCGGAGGGTCCCAGGGAGCGAGGGGCGACGGCTGCCCTGGCGGGATGGTGTCCTGTGATCCTGGGGGAGGATGTCTTGAATCAGCCAGTCCGTGGGCCCCCTGGCCGTCGACTGGGCTTGCATCGTCACCCGCGGAGTTCCCAGGAATCCTAGATCCGTCGTCGATCGGGTTCCCAACCATGCTAAGCCTGACCTGCAGGCTGGCTGCCGCGCCGCGCCGCAAGGGCGAACCCAGGGAGTCTGATATGGCCGGAGCGCGGCCCGGGGGGCAGCGCGCGGCCCGCAAACTCCTAGGGGATGACCCCTTGAGCTGGGAGACCCGGCCGAGGAGCCAGGGCCCAGAGACGGCTTGAGCCAGAGGCTACGGACTGGTGGGGAAACTTTTTTTTTTACAGCCGCAGGCGGAAGCGCCGGCGGCGAGCGGTCACGGTCGGGCTGCGGCCGTGCCAAATTACCCGGGCGCGCGCGGGGGCCGCGGATCAGGCGGCGGGGCAAGCAGCAACCCAGGGCGTCTGAGAGGCCAGGCGGTCGTGCACTGGTGGGGAAACGCGAAGCGTGAAGAATAACTCCTCCTTGTCGCACCCCCCCGACTTGTCAACAGGGCGGGCCGGGTGTTTCGCCTGAGACTCCCTAACCATCTATGATCCTTAAGCTGAAAAGTGCAACAGTTTCACTAATGGAGGGCGATTTGTTCAAAAGGATGCTCTCATCTCAGCACCGCGAACATTCGTTCTAAGTTCGCAACAGCTTCAAATATTGAGGGCGGTGCTTTTTCAAAATGTAGCTATCGCCCCTAGCGACGCGCACATTCATCTTAACTGTTTGCAGCAAGTTGAAAGATTCGTATGGTTGAAGTCCCAGGAATGGCGCTATGGCATGATTTAGGGCTGCCAGGACGCAATGGTCACGTTGATTCGCGGTGCTGAGATACCAGGAATGGGTAGTACGCAATTGTCACATTGACCCGCGGCGCTGAAGTTTCAGAAGCGGTGTCTTAGCACGATCCAGGATTCTCAGACGGTTGTCTTCCAATGGGACACGTGCAGCAATTAATACACAATCCTGTAGAGATAGATGGGAAGGGAACTCGGAGGGAGGGTTGATTGCTACATCCTTAGTGCGTTTTTGCTGTACGTACACTGGTCCTCCTCCTCCTCCTCCTCCTTCTCCTCCTCCTCCTCCTCCTCCTCCTCCTCCTCCTCTTCCTCCTCCTCCTCCTCCTCTTCCTCCTCCTCCTCCTCCTCCTCCTCCTCCTCCTCCTCCTCCCCTCCTCCTCCTCCTCCTCTTCCTCCTCCTCCTCCTCCTCCCCTCCTCCTACTAACGACTACTCCTGCTAAGTACTGTTACTGATGATGCTGCTGCATATGGCACTGCTACTATTAATGCTACTGCTAATTCGAGCCACTCCATACTGCCACCCATCCAACACGCGTTCAGAGGTGGGGCTCCGTCTCAGGCTGCCGCTGTTACCACAGCTGCCTCTCCGACTCCGATGCCTCCGCCTACGCGTACTCTTTACCGCTCACTCGTCTAGAAGTCATCCAACTGTCTTCCTGAACGGCCCTCAACGGGCCCAAGGGCCCCGAAAAAAGCGGCTCGGGATAGAAAAATGACCCCGCAGAGAATGTCGGGACATCTGTGGGCCCCGTACTGAGAAACCACGACGTCGGATGTCTGGGGTGCGAAGTGTCGAAGTGTCACACATATTCGACCATGGACCCCTTGTTACCCATCAGCCACCGAGGCCCGTTAGCCGAACCCGAAGCCCTTCGGTTGCTTCCAGCGCGAAAGCTGGGTGGCTGCGCACAGCAGAGGGCCCATGGCGCACGAGAAGACTCGGGCGAGGGGTGGGGCCCAAAAGCCTTCCTCCATCCTCCCCCGAGCCCGCCCCCCCCCATCCCCTGCAGCGAACAGCGAACGACGCCCAACGGCGAAGGTTGTCCCAAACCGACAGCGGCCGCCTCTCGTCCTTTCCCGCCCGCGGCGGCCGCGGCGGCTGTAAGCGAGGCGCGCAACTCCCCCACCCCGCTCTCTCCTGGGCTGGGGGGGGGCGTGAAAGTGGGGCAGGAGCAGAGGTGGGGCTTAGAGGAGGAAAATCGTTCTAGACAGCCCCATGGAAGAGGGCAGCATGCGTTCCTAAGCCCACCTTGGGAGAACTGTCCCGTTTTTACGGCCAGGAGCGTCTGCTTAGAGCCTGGCGGCGGCGGCCCCTGCGATACGCTCCGCCTAGCAAGCTGGCAGAGCGTCCTCGTGGGGCGGAAGAACGGGAAAAGCTCGGAACGTTGATGCTTGGGGACTGGGACGTGCTCAGCGTGCCGAGCGGAAGCGGGGTGACCCAGAACCAGCGGCGCGACACGCTGAGCAAACGTTCGTGCCCATACGAGCATACGAGCCTCGGTCTGGAGACGGAACCCCATGGGCCGTGCTGGAAGCCTTGTGGGCCATCTGGAGGCCATCCTGGGCGTGCTCGAGCGATGTGTCCGCGCTTCGAACCCTCTCGGAGGCCTCGTGCGGTCCTTTTCATACGCGTTGGGGCTGCCTTTGGGCCGTTTGGGGGCCCCCACCGCCCCAGGGCTGGGACAGGGCCGCCCGCCTCCGCATACCTGGTCTCGCGCAGGATCTCGGCCTCCGACCGCGCCTCCTGCGGAGGCACCCCACCCAGCGCTCGCTCCGCTCCCCACGCACTTAGAGGCACGCCAGGGTTCGGAGGAGGGCCCGGCGCGCTGCGCGGGGGAGGAGGTCGAGGTTTCTCCCTCCCTCCCTCCCTCCCTCCCCTCCCTCCTCCTCCTGAAAGCCTCCTGCAGCTCCTCCGCGAGCGCTCGCACGCGCGTGAGGGAGGAGGAGGAGAAGGAGGACGAGGAGGAAGGAGGAGGAGGAGGAGGAGGAGGAGGAGGAGGAGGAGGAGGAGGAAGAGGAGGAGGAGGAGGAGGAGGAGGAGGAGGAGGAGGAGGAGGAGGACCAGTGTACGTGCAGTAAACGCACTGAAAGCCCAAGGCGCGCGCGCTGAAAGCCCAGCTGCTGGCCAGACGGCGGGCTGCCGCTGACGACGCCCGCGCGGCGGACGAGGGCCCGGCTGCTGCGGGGCTGGCCGGGCTGGCGCGGGGCGCTGCTGCTGTTGCGGCTGCCGCGCTGGGCGGGCCCGCGCTGGCTTAGCGCTGCTGCGCGACCAGGCCGGGGCGGGCCGCGGGGCGCAGGCGCGAGGCGCGGGCCCGCGAGAGCCCGACGGGGCCGCCGGGGGCTGCTGGCGGCGCCTGGCCGGCGGCGCCGCAGGAGGGCCGGGCGCGGATTGCGCCGCGGCAGCTGCAGCGGAGGGCTAACGGGCGGGCTGGCTGGCCCGGCGCCTCGCGGAATGCCCCTACACCATCGTCCTGGTCGGCGCGGTGCTCCCGGGTAGCGCTGATTATAGGCCCCGGCTGGCGCACCCCCTCCGTCCAGGGCGCGGCCTCCGCTGAGCGGTGGACCGTGCCTGGGGTGGGGGGGTTGCGCCGGCTCCCGATCACTGTGCTCCCGCGGCAAAGGGACCCGCGGCGCGCAGCGGAGGAGGAGGAGGCGGAGGAGGAGGAGGAAGAGGAGGAGGAGGAGGAGGAGGAGGAGGAGGAGGAGGAGGAAGAGGAGGAGGAGGAGGAGGAGGAGGAGGAGGAGGAAGAGGAGGAGGGGAGGAGGAGGAGGAGGGGGAGGAGGAGGAGGGAGGAGGGAGGGAGGGAGGGAGGAGGAGGAAGGAGGAGGAGGAGGAGGAGGGAGAGGAGGAAGAGGAGGGGAGGAGGAGGAGGAGGAGGAGGAGGAGGAGGAGGAGGAGGAGGAGGAGGAGGAGGAGGAGGAGGAAGAGGAGGAGGGGGAGGAGGAGGAGGAGGAGGAGGAGGAGGAGGAGGAGGAGGAGGAGGAGGAGGAGGAGGAGAGGAGGGAGGATGGAGGAGAGAGGAGAAGCAGCAACAGGCCGAGCAGCATCAGCAAGAGCATGAGGAGGAGGGAACTTTTTTGATCCGCGGGTCTAGAGCGAGCCTCGTCCGGTCGAAGCTAAGCGGGCCGCGCGCAGCTTTAATTGACAAAGGGAGAAAGGCAGAAGGAGGGGCCTCGCGCGCAAGGCCAGGAGAGGGCAAAGCCCCGGAATCAGGCGGCGCCGAAGGCGAAGTGCACGCAAAGGAACGCCTTGCACAGGACCCGGAGGCGAAGTACCGGAAGAGCAAAATGCTGCGGTGGTGGTGCCGTCAGCGGCACTTCATGCACACCAGCCTCAAGTGACCGCGGAAGGAGACGCACCGCGTATCCAGGGCGACGCCCGAGAGGGTGAGGAGCACCGCTGGGCCGGAGTGCAACGTTGTGCCACCGAACAGGATGCAGGAGAGGCCCAGGCCGTGGTAGTCCAAGGTGCCACGTACACAAGGAAAGAGAGCCGCAGTCTGAGGCGCGGCTGTCAGGTCAAGCCAAGAACATGCCGCCCATGACCGACAGGGTGCTGGTGCGCTGCAGGGAGGACGCCTGCCCCGCAGTGGCGAGCGCGTGGGACTGGGCAGAAACAGCACACGTTGCGCTGCCGTTCCGTGGTGCCCAGCACCGGGCCGAGGCCGCGCTGCGCCCAGGACCGCGGGCCCGCCGAGGCGGCAAGGCGCGAGCGCCGGGTACCGGGCCGAAGCCGCGCTGCGCAGGGCACTGCCGCCATGGGAGGGGGGGTAGCGAGCGGGCAGGGGGAAGCGGGCAGGGAGGAGAAGGGCCGGTCCGGCGGGCCAGCCGTCGCCCAGGCAGCCCCGCGCCAGCAGCTGAGCGTAGCGCCCGTGCTGGTGGCAGGGAGATCCTGCGGAATCAGGGGGGACAAACCACCCCATATTCAGGTAAAGGAGGGGGGAGGGAGGTGGAGGGCAAGGCGCCGAAGGCGTCGACCAGGCCGCACTCGAAGAGAACGCCGTGATGCCAGGGCCAGGAGGGGCGGTCCGGGCGAGGTGCTGGTGGCAGGGAGATCCTGCGGAATCAGGGGGGACTAACGGTCCCATATTCAGGTAGAGGAGGGGGGAGGGAGGGGGAAGGCAAGCTGCCGAAGGCGCCGACCAGGCCGCACTCGAGGAGAACGCCGTGGTGCCAGAGCCAGGAGGGGCGGTTCGGGCTAGGTGCCCGGGGTCAAGAGGACCGTGCGAGGCGCTGCTGTGCGTCAGCGCTTGGGCGCTGAACCCCGTGTCAGTGTCCTTTCGGAACGCGTAGCGGGCCGCCCCCCGCGCCCGTCGTGGATGGCCGCACCCAGGTGCCGCCCGATTCCTGCTGCAGGGCACTTGCAGCCCCAGTCGATATCGCAATTGGTGCGGGATCAGGAGGGACTAACCGTCCCAAAATCAGGCGTGCAGGAGGAGGGGAGAGGGGAGAACCAGGGTAGGGCGCTGTGGACGGCGACGCACTGGTCGTACCCGGAGCACAGCGCCAGGAGGCCTGCTAGGCACTGGAGGGACGGTGGTGCGCGCGGCGTCGTCAGGGGGAGAGTCCAGGCCAGGTCAGCGCCTGGGGCGCTTCCCGGTCCAGTTGCCGGTGTACCCAGAGCTGCGTGCTTGGCCCTCTCCGCGCCCTTCGCCTTTGGCCACCTCCCGCTTCCGCTGGCACTCCTGGCACAGGGTGTTCTCGCGTTCCCAGTCGACGTAGACGCCCGCGTTCCGGGGCCACTTACCGACCCACGTCGTAGTGGCTGTTGGCCATTCCCTCCAGGAAGCGATCGATCATGTCGGGCTTCCAACAGGACGGGTCGAGCTTGACTTGGCCCCTGGTCTTGCCCCGTTCCTGGCCCATATGCCTGCACCTGGAGTGCCAGGCTGCGGTGAAATAATAACCTTCCTCGGCCTTCAGCCTCTTCAGGTGGGCGGCCGCCGCCTCGCCCGGGCGTCTCGGCCAGCTGACACGGCGGTCTTCCCAGGGGGCGGTTGTGACCAGGGCGGCGGCGTTCACCCTTGTGTTCAGGGTTGCGGGGATCGTCTTGTCGCTGCCAAGGGCCCCACCCTCCGCCCCTGTCACGATCGCGGCCCCGGTCGCGGTCGCGCTCTCTGGCTCGGACCCGGTCGCTGGCATCTCTGGACGGGCGCCGCGCCGTGCTGCCACATCGGCCCCAGGGACCCGGGTCACTCACCCTGCCGCGCGCGCGACCGCACTCGCGCGTAGGGCGGGGGTTGGGCGCGGCGCGCCCGGCCCCTGTGGCCGCAGTCCTGAGCCGCGCGTGCAGGACACGGTCGTCGGCGCCGGCCATCGCGAGCTCGGTCTGTCCCGTGGATTCGTGGGCCCGGCGGGCCTGGTGTGTCGCGTCGGCGTCGCGTTCAGGACTGCTGCGTCGCATCTCCCGTGGGCTCGTCCCGATGTGGACCTGTCGATGTGCTCCAGGGTCTGGAGAGGGCGAGGCTGCGTGGAACGTGCCTGCGGCCTCCGCCAGCCTCTGAGCCTGTTCCTCCTCCTGGTCCTCCTCGGTGCAATCGGGGATATCCTCCTTGGTGTGCCCGTGCGGTGTCGGCTCGTGCATGGGGCCCCGCGCGACCGCGCGTGGCGCGCGGGGCTGGGGCCTGGATTTGGGCTGAGCCCTTTCTGCAGGCGCCGCCGTGGCGTTTCCAGAGGGGCGCCGAGCCAGTAGCTGGCAGGGACCGCTAGCTCCTGCGGCGCTTGTGCCTTGTCGGTGGCCCCATTCAGGAAGGCGGCTGCACGGCGCGCCGCATTGCCGCGTAGAACGTCGGCGCGTAGAGTCTTGGCCCCAGCACCCCAGACTTCAAGACACTCGTTGCCGATTTGGACGATCAGGGTTCGTCCGTCCTTCTCGCGGATCTGGACGTCGCGGATTGGTCCGAATACTGCTCCGTCCAGGGGCTGCGCGAACAGGGGCACGGTGCTCTGCGCTGCTCTGAAACCGCCTGGCTCGGGGGAGGGCGTCGTTCCAGACGACCACGTAGTCGCCGCTCTCGATGTCTGGGCTGTCCGTCGTGATCGGGCGGGCGGGGGCCTGGAGGGGTTTGTCTGGGACTTGCCCGCGCCGCCGGTCGCGGTCGCGATCCGCGCGCTCCAGGAGAGGACCAGGGGTTGCGTTGGCGGCCAGTGGGGCCCCCGCAGACTTGGTAGCCGTGGGTCGCGTAGTGGGAGGGATCGAGGCTGGCTCGCTGTCGCGCGGCGTGGGCGGTAGTGCATCGGTGGGCGTCAGGCGCCGGTCCTTGATGGGCCTCGGGCTGTCTGCGGGGTCAAGGGTACGGGCGTCGCGCCCGTCTATCCGGAGGACGTCGTCCTGCTGGGGCCCGCTGCTGGTCGCAGGCTGCGGGGTCGGCAGAGCTGGCGCGACGGCAGCTGCGCCCGCGCGTTCGGTCTCGCCACTGCGCGTCCCTCCGGCGCCCTGGCCCCTGATCTGCGCCACAAGCTTTACGTGCGTCTCCCTGGCCGTCATCCTTCGCGCCCAGGCACGGCGCGGTTGCTCGCCCTCTGGCGGGGGCGGCGGCGCGCCGCGAAGGCGCTCCTGGTGGGCGCGCGCCTCCTCATCCCAGGCGGCAGCCCGCCGTTGCACTTCCCGCTGGCCGGCGCGCAACCCCTGCGGGGGCGGCAAGGACGCCGGGCAGCGCGGCGAGGGGTTTGGCTCCGTGGACCGGGTATGCCGCAGGGCCGTACTTGTCGAGCACGCGCCGCACTGCGGACGGGGCCATACCCCATTGGTGGATCAGGCAGTCCTCGCAGCACCAGCCTGCGTGCCAGCGCTTGGACAGGAACATCTCCTTCACGAGCTGGACTGGCGGAAGCCCGTGGATCAGGGTTAGGCCAGCTCGGAGGCCTTCAGGGTCAGCGGCGCGGCCGTGCATGCCAGGGATGGGCTGTCCAGGCTGCCACCTGTGTCCTTCTGTGCCGGGCGGGCAGCTGTCGCACCGCCAAATGCCGACGTTGCTCTTGTGGAACTGGGAGATCAGGCGGTCGTCGTTCGCGCTGCTGGCTGGTAGCGCGGCACCCACGTTGAGCGGGTTCATGTCGCCGTCCAGCGGGGACAGGAGCTGCTCCAGGGGCGCGAATGTCGTGGGCGCCGGCGTTGGGCAAAGCCCCGGCAGGGCACGCGTCGCGCGCGCCGGCGCGTCGTCGGGGCGATCGTTGATCCAGCCCTTGAACTCCACGTCCTCCGGGATGGGCCAGCGTTCTTGCATGGCCTTCGTGGCCCAGCAGCAAATGCACAGCCAGGCGAGGTCCATCCCTTGGTAGTACTCCGTCTGCCTGTTGACCGCGATGACCTGGCGGATCCGCTTGCTGACGCACGCCCCTTTGTCGCGCTTGAACGGGTCACGGAGGCGCCCCTGGCAGTAGAAGTCGGCCTTGTTCTGCGCCTTCGTCCACCTGGTGTCGCGCTCGTCTATCCAGGGAGGCCGTAGCGCCACGCCGGGGCGGGGCCCGAGTGGGGCGGGCGCGTCCAGGTGCAGGGGCGCGAAGGAATACCCCCCGCCCATCCAGGCGACCTTGCCTGCCTGCTTTGCAGGGTCCGCGGGGGGGCCCGTGCTGGACCCGAGCACGTCGACGTAGAGTTCGCACACCGCGCGCTCGCGGTCCGCCAGCGCCGAGAGGTCAGCGGCAAGGACAGCACCTTCGATGACGGCGAGGGCGGCCTGGAGCGGGAACTTCACGGCCTCGAGGTCCTTCCAGGTGGGGGGGCATCCCGCCTTGACGGCAAGGGGGCGGCGGTGGGCGACCAGGACCAAGCGGGACACCGCAAAGATCAGGAGCTCCAGCGCCGAATGTAGCTCCCTGAAGTGCCTGGCCTGAAGCCCGAAAAGTGTTCCCAGATGGCCCCGCGCAACCCTGTCGCGCGGCCGGCGCGGCTCGCACTTGCCACGGATGGCCCCGATCACGTCGCCGATGCCCTCGGCGCCCCCGCACGGGTACAGGCAGGTAACCGGTTCGCGCTGCAAGAGTACTGACAGGGCGAGCAGGATTCTGGCTTGGATGGCTCCCAGGGTCGCGCCGGTGCTGTCCAGGAGGCGGCGCAGGACTGCGGTCTGGCTCCCGCCTGAGTCCATGTCGCAGAAGGCCTGAAACCCCGCTGGCGCGGGTGGTTCCTTCTGCCCCTGGCATTCGCAGGTTGTCGGTTGCCAGCATTTGGGGCGGCGCCTGGCGGCGGCGGCGGGGACGCAAGCCTCCTTGACGCGCCACGCTGCCGGCATGTTCGGTCGCTCCCTTCTTGGTGGAATCAGGGTGGAGTCAACGGCCCGGGCGCTGTCGTCGCGGGAGACTCCGAGCCCGATGGCCCACATGATGGTCGCGAGGACTGCCGTGTAGACCAAGTTACCGGCGTCCAGTCCCACCAGCATGGAGCAGAAGAAGAGGTACCCGTTCCTGCTCCATCTTTTCCTGTCCTGCATGCTGGGATCCGCGGGCTGGTCCGCCACGCCGAACTGGCGCGGGCGCAGCCCGAGGCGCCAAAGAATGCAGGGTCCGAAGGCCGCGCAGTACAGGAGTCGCACGACCGCCGCGTTGACGTCGCCCTCCAGGTCCGTCCAGCTGCGGTCCGCAGAGAGCGGCAGGTCGGCGCGGGCCGAGAAGCCCGCCTGTTGGGCTTGACGGGCCATGATCACCTCCCTCTCCTTCTGCTTGCGGCCAGCGTCCGCTTGCAGCCGGGCCTTCTCCTCTGGGTTGGCGGCGTCAGGGGTGTCGTCCTGGAAGACGTGTGGGTCCACGAGGGTCTGGCGCAGAGATCCATCCAAGTTGTGGTGGAACTCGAAAGTAAGGCTCGCCTTCTGGGCCCAGGTTCTTAGGTAGTGGGGGGCAGCGTCGGTGGCCATGCGGAACATCCTCGCGTCTGCGGTCATGATGAGGTTGCATTGTGGGCGTGTCTGGCCCACGTCGACGCGGTGCCGGTCGCCCACGTGGCCTCAATTGCGAATTGAGTTGACTCGGGTGGTCAGCAGTGTAACAACGGATGCCTCTTGACCCTGGGCGGAGTCGATGGCGGCGACGCGCAGGGTCTCGTCTCCCAGGAGCTGAGGGAACAAGTCCATGAGCCCGTCGAAGCGCTCGTTCAGGCCGTTGGCTGCCGTGGCGCGGTTGATCCAGGTCCCTCTTGTGAAGGACCTCTTGTTGGCGGGTAAGGAACGAGAGCTGCCCCGGCCCTGAGAGCGCTGGGAACATGTCGCGCCTACGCCTGCCTCAGGCCCGTCTGCTTGGGCCACCCGTGAGCAACGTCTGATGTCTTGGGGAGCGCAGGGGTTGCCTGCCAGCACGGGGGCCAGCTGCAGCTCGCACGGCGACAGCACCAGGATGGCGCCGCCGGTGCGTGTCGCCCAGAGCACAAGGGTCTTCACCAGAGCAACCACGGTGCGTGCTTCGCGAATGTTGGCGCAGCCGCTGGTGCACGGACTGGACCTCTTGTGAGCGGACGTGCGCAAGTAGGAACTGGTGCTGGTCGAAGACGGCGCTGCCGTCTCCTGCGCTCGGGACAGGCGGGCAGGCCCCCTCCGCCTGCGGTGTCGATAAGGGAGTTGGCGGGGCCGCATCTACTTTCCTCGTTCTTTGCTGCTTCGTACTCCTCGCTGGACAGCGGAACTGCGAGTGGCCGCTGAAGTCCCTCGGCGCAGGGGCGCTGCCGCATGGGGTCCAGGCTGGCCGAGACCAGCCTGCCCCCATAGAACGCGAACAGGGGCCAGGCCAGCAGGGAAGGGTGGATACGGTAGCACTCTTCCAGGGTGACGCCGCGGCCGGGAACCCCCCTATGGCTGACACGCACTTGGCGAGGGTGGAAATGCCGAGGCCCCAGCGCTGCGCCTGCTGGGGCTCGACCGTTGGGCACAACGCCGTTCGTCGCCGAAGAGGGCTACTCTGGCCCCGCGTCGGACGGCGTGGACCAGAGACACGATGGCCATGGGTTCGGCCGTCTGACCCGCTTCGCCCAGGAGGCAGATAAGGAACTTCTCGTCCCAGAGGTCTATGGAACCAGCACGCGTGGTCCGTGGTTGTGACCTCGACTTCCAGGACGTTGTACGTTTCGGCGCACTTAGCGACGGTGGTGATCTCCCTGGCGGCGCTGCCCTTCACCTTGTCCTCGCGCGCGAGGCGCGCGGCCAAGCGTGGGAGCAGGTCGCTACAGTCCGGAGCCAAGTTCTCCACGATCTGCTCAAGGGCGCCCATGGAGCCGCCGGCGCCGCCGAAGCACCCCACGCACCATCCTGGGGCGAGGCGCGACATGTAGGCGTCCGCTATGCAGGCCGCGACCTTGGTCTGACCTGTGCCCGGCGGCCCGCGGCACAGGGCGAGGAGTGAGTTGGGTCGCAAGCACGCAGTGACGCTGAGCATTGCCGGTTCGGCGCAGGTCGCAGGCGCGCTCAAGGTGATCCCCCCGCGGGACAAGCAGCAGTCGCTGAAAGACGCAGCCGGGGGACCCGTAAGCCAGCTGGAGTGTCAGGGGCGGTTCGGCCACTCGTCTGCTGGCGCCGGGTTGGTCGAGGTCGTCGATCATGCGTTCCAGCGCGGCCGAGGCCCGCGCAAGCAGTCGGTCCGCTGCCATGCCTTGCGCGGGCACCGACAGGGCGCCGGCCTCGCTGTCGCGACCCTCGCGTCGGGAGACGAGCGCCCAGACTATGGGCGGGGGGGCGGTGCCCCACAGGGCGGCACTCTCGCACCCGGCCGAGAAGAATTCCCGGATCGCGGCGTTGACCTCGTTGAACTGGGCCATCCTTGTGGCGCGGTCGACCCTGTAGGAAGGTTTGCCAGGGGTTGGTCTTCTGACGGCGGCGTCGCTGTCGAAGAAGGGCCCGTGCTTCCTGGCGTCGTAGTGGACCAGGGCTATGCCAGAGGGGCAGCCGCGGTCAGTGCCCGAGACTTCGGCGCCAGGGGCTGGGGGCCAGACAGGGGCCATCTCAGCCGAGAAGCCCGCCTTCGGCGAGGTCTTAGAGATCACGAAGGGATTAGGGGCGCCGGCTGTCACGTCGCGCTCCGTCCATTCCATGGCCCACATCTTGTCCCACACGAGCAGGTAGAATTCGCTCTGTCCCTGTCGCTGGACTTTGAACCGATCCTGTAGTTGATACTTATCCAGGAGATCTTTGCAACGCTCTCCAGGCGCGAAGCAGGGGAAGACCTGCACGTCCAGAGCGCAGGTGGTCTTGCTGGCGATGATCTGGCGGGTTGTTGCGGTGCCGCCATCGGGGGGCTCTACATCCGCATAGAACTCGGCGACGAAGACTCTCTTGAGCTCCTCGCCACACGTCTGCAACCGCCGTATCCAATCCGACTGCAGCGGGACTGCTCCAGGGACGGGTCCGAGGCAGGGGCGCGACGCAGCGCTGCTTTTGACCCTGTACCAGGGGACGCTGTAGAGGCTCTCGACGTTCTTGGCGAGCTGCGCGCGTCGCTCTTCGATGACGGGCGCCCCCGGCGACGGCGGGGCCGGCGCTCCGGCCCTGCCGGGGCCCCCGGAAGGATCCGGGCGGCCCCCGGGGCCGCTAGGGCCGGCAGAGGAGGACGCATGCAGCAGGGGGGGGCCTGGGAACGGCCGCCTGCGCCGCACGCGGAGGCCCGGGGGGGGCGGCGGCACGTCGGCAGACGGTCCCGGAGAGTAACTGGACGCACCCTTCATGGCCAGAGAACGGGCCAGTGCTTGTCCTGCGTCGCGGAGCTGCTGCTCCTTCGTCTGCTCTTGGGGGCTGGCGGCCTTGGCCCAGGGAAGTTGCACGTTGTCGCTGTTGATTACCAGCCCCAGTGGGGGAGAGTAGTTATTCTGGCCCGTCGCAGCACCCAGGAAAGCCGATCGGAATCCAGTCCCAGTCCGGCTCGTAGACACAGGGATCGACAGGGGACTTCTCGTCATCGAGGTCCCAGTCCCAGCACCAGCCTGGGCAATGCGCCCGCGGGATGTCCGGCGTGGCTTTGCCCCCGGTCATGCTCCAAGGGTCGCCCCCCATCATGAACCGCTGGGGATGGGGGAGCCCTTGGGGAGTCTCTCCTTCCATATACTTTGCGAGCTCGGTCTGCCTGCGCTGCTTCATGTGCTCAGTCGACGTGAAGTGCTGCTGGTCGTTGACCGCCTTGCCGCAGTCGTCGCAGAGCCAGCCCCAGCGTCCGCCGCCGTTGTTGTCGCCCGCGTAGGTCCAGTGGACGCCGGGGGCCTCGCGGCACCTGAAGATGATGTGCCCAAGTGCGTTCTTGAGTGGTTGTCGACGGCAGGGGGCCGCGCGCGGCCACGGGGCCACGATCTTGGCCTTGGCTACCACGGGGAATCAGGGGGGCAAAAGAAGCCCAACGTTCAGGTAGCAGCGGATACAGAGGGCAACGTCCCGGACCTTAGCAGGGTCGGCGCGGGCAAAGAAAGCGAAGAAAGGGGATTAGGTACCACCTCTACTCCTGCTATCCCTGTTTGCGCGGAGGAGGAGGAAACAGACAGCTCCGCTTCGTCTTGCAGGGTCCGCGAAGGTAGAAGCTTTTTCTGTCGCTCCATGTCGCCGGGCGATCGGCGATGGCAAATCCCACCAGCCCTCTGGGCGTCGGTGGTCAGAGAGCTTCCTCTTCCACCCCTCCTTCTTCCCCTCCGGTGAAGGGTTCACCCCTCCCCCATACCACCTCCCCTGGACGTGGAGGGGGGCGGGTCGCGAGGTGTCAGGGCGCACAAGACGGCCTCGGCGAGGAAGCCAAAACCATTGATTTCACTAGGGTTTTGGCCCCATTGTGGCGTCTTGGGGGGGCGCTAATTTAACACCCCCCCTCTTGTGATCGATCTCACCCAAGATGGCCCACAGATGGCCCCCAAGACTTCCAAGGGTGCCCCAAGACGGCCCCAAGAGGTGGCCAGGAAGCCCCAAGAGGCCCCCAGGAGGCCCCCAGGACGCTCCCAAGAGGCCCCCGAGAAACCTCCAGGAGACCTCAAGGAGGCCCCAAGAGGCCCCCCAGAGGCACCCAAGAGGCACCCAAGACGCTCCAAGAGGCCTAGGCGACAATGCCAAAATCGCTGATTTTACGAAGGTTCTGGCCACATTTTGGCCTCCTAAGGGGGGGCCCTGCTTCAGATGACTCCAAGGGCGCCTGGGGGGGGGCCAAGGATGATCTCCAAGATGGCCCCAGATATCCCAAGATGCCTCTAGATGGCGCCCACGATGAACCAAGAGGCCCCAAGACCACTCCAAGACGGCTGCAAGTGGCCAAAGAGCTCCCCCAGGAGTGGAGGCCCCGAAGAAGCCAGAAGCGCTCCGAATGCCCTCAAGAGCGCTTTAACAGGGCCCCAAGGCGTCCAGGAGGCCCCAACAGGCGCCCAAGAGGCCAGGCCTCCAAGAGGCCCCCAAGAGACCCCCGAAAGGCCCCAAAAAGCTTTCCGAGACACCCAAAACGCTCTAAAAGGCGTCCGGGACCGCCGAGAGGCCCCCAAGACGCTCCAGGAAGCCTCCACTGGGGGACCCTTCCTCTGCGTGCTGCCCGCTTCCCTGATCGAGGCACTTCCTCTGGGCATCGTTTCTGGATGGGCTGGTGGGGATTTTTTTTGTAGCCGACCGCAGGCGAGCGCGCCCACGGCGCGTCAAGGTCCGGACGGGACGCGCGAGGTCTTAAATTACCTAGCACGAACAGGCCTACCGCCGCAACTCAGGCCGAGACCAGGAAGGGGCCGAGGAGGGTGGGACAGGGCTGCAGGCTGCCAGGGGCTGCAGGCTGCCAGGGGCTGCAAACGTGCACCGAGCTGCAAACGCGCTGCTGACTGCAAGGGGCTGTTGACTGCCAGGGGCTGCAGGCTGCCGGGTGTGAGTTGGACCGCACATAATTGGACAACCGATGCAAACTGAGGCTGCCAGGGTGGGCTGAACCGTGGCGGCCTGAACCACCGAGAAGACGAATTGGGTGCACGTGAATTGGCCAACCGCCGAAGCTGGAGCGCAGCCAAAATGGCGCGCATTAGCACCAGGATGTGACCTGGCCAACGGCGAACGGGCACCCGGAGGGCCCACCTTGGTCCAGCAGGCGCGGGTGGTGGCGCCACCGAAGTCGCACACCAAAGCCCCGCCGAGGGGGGTGCGGTCTGCGATCGCCCGGCCACAGATGGCAACAGCGACGACCAGAGGCCAGGCGGACGATGGAGGAAACCAACACCGTACACCTCTGAGCCATCGGGCCGAAGAGAGCCACGAGACTTTCCGCTAACACCGACGACGTGGGCGGCCCAACCAGTAGGCGGCACACCACGGGGTCAGTCCACGGAGCGGGGGGCGGCTGCGGGCGCCGCCGTCAGAACCGTGGCACGACACAACACGGTAGGTCAGCGGACTGGTGCACAGGCTGCACCACGTGCACCCATGGGGCCAGGAGCGCATAGGCTCAACCACGCGCACATGGGAGCCCCAAGCCCCAGGGGAGGAGCCGCAGGAGAAGGGGGCGAGGGCCGGGGCGGCCGGGGACACTGGGACGCACAGCCGCCGGAGCGGGGGGGGGGCAGAGAGGGCGGGGCAGCCCAGCCGCGGGGGAGGCCGTCCCCGCGCGGCGGGTACCACGGGGCGCGGAGGATGAACGTGCCGATGGCGGTGAAAACAGCTACAGTGTGGCCAAGGGCCGTGGGGCACAGGTGGACCACGGCCCAGTGGCAGTCCACGTGCCAGCATTGCCAGCCGGCCGCTGCACATGCCCCAAGGACGGGGAACAGCGGGAGCTGGGCAGAAAGCGCTCCAGGGAGTGGCTACCAGCCACTGGTTTAAATTCAGCGGCCGCAATTAGTGGCCCCCGTATCGGCGCTGCACGGCTGACCCTGGTCCGACCGGGAGGAGGGGGGGTCTGCCGTAGCGGGACCTGCGGCTCTTGGGCTGTTTCCAGCGCCGGTGTCCACAGGGGTGGTAGGGGCCTCTGCGGCAGCAGGGCCCTGCACCCGTTCGTCACTCCCCGAAGCCGCACCGGTCCCCGCACCACCGTCGCGTGGGGTCTGCGCACTGCTGTGCGCCCCACTGCTGCTGCCTGCGCCGCAGCTGAAGGCTGCCTCTGCAGGACCGTGGTGTGAGTCACGCTCCAGGGAGGCAAGGGAGGCCCGTAGCCGCACCCATTTTCATCTGGCCTAACGGGCTTCGTCTCTCCTTGTAAGACCGATGAGACCGTCGCTCCGTGCCCTTCTGGCCTAACGGGCCTTGGTTCTCCTTGCAAGGCCCACTGGCTACCAGGGTTGCCCCAGGGGGCATCGGGACTCGGACACCGGAAAAAAAGGGTGTCTCGCTTGCCTGAGTGAGAAAGGGGGGCGCATCTCTGGGGGGACATGTCGCCACAGGAAGCTGCCGCACCGTCCGATGGGACCGTCCCCCCGCTCCCTTCTGGCCTGACGGGCCTTGATTCTCCTTGTGAGACCGTCGAGGCTGTCGTTCCGCTCCTTTCCGGCCTAACGGGCCTTGTTTCACCTTGCAAGGTCTGCTGGCCACCAGCGTTGCCCGAAGGGGCAGCGGGACACGGACAGCGGAAGACGAGGGCGCCTCGCTCGCCTGAGGCAGACTGGGGAGTGCAACACTGGGAGGACCTGTCGCCGAAGAAGGCTGGCATACCTTCACCGGCTGGGGAGGTGCCGCGAGGCTCCCTTCAGGTGCCACGACGGAAATCGCACTGGAAAGCCGCACACATGCAGACTGATTTGGGAGGGGCAGGTGGAGACACAGGCCGGCAAACCAGGGTACCAGGGAGCAGCTGAAGGCAACACTTTCTGCAAGAACCACAGCGACCACCGCGCCCGTGCGCGGCAGGCTACGTCTAGTATGAAACTCGGGCGGACGGACCCGCAATGAAACAGGGGGAGAGACAGGCGAGGAGAGCCCTGGGGGAGGCGGGACAGGACCGCCACCCCGAGGGAGAGCCCTGTGGCCCGGAACGCATGTTCACGCCGGTGCGCAACCCCCAGCGCGGGCTGCACCGGCACGGGGATGTCCGAGGAGCCAGTCAATCCGTTTCCCCCTGGCCTAACGGGGCTTGTTTCTCCTTGTAAGGTCAGCAGGCCACCAGGGGCGCCCGTGGTGGCGTCGGGACTTGGACACTGGAAGCAAGGAGTGCCTCGCTCGCCGGTGAGTGGATGGGGAGCGCAACACCGACGGTCACACTGTCTGCAACCTCCTGACTCAGCTGCGTGAAGCGGCATCGCCCTCTGCAATATCCGTTCCCATAGGGCCTAACGGACCTTGTTTCTCCATATAAGGTCTGCAGGCCACCAGGGACGCTGATAGGAGGGAGGTGCTGATGGAGAGCCTGCTTGCACTCAGCAGCGCTCGCGACTGCCGCCACGATACTGTTGCCAGGACGGGGTGCCCTTGTAGCCACACCTTCCGCCTCCACAACGACACAGCCCGAGGGACGCTGGAAGGAGTGAGGGGCAGAAGGGACGCCAGCATGCCGGCCACCGGAGGGAAAGGGCCGACACGCTGCTGCGAACGACCGCCTCTTCAGGCGGGAGCTGTCCAGGAGG